TGACTAGCTGATGTCTTCATTCAGCTTGTGTTTTTGTTGGTTTTCTTTTCTTCTGCCTGGAGGGATCCTCTTCTGGTTTATATTGTGGGAAAAGAAAGAAAAGAGAGTGAAATGCTGATTCTCTTAGTTTGCCTTGTGGATGAAATGGAGAGCTGCGGGAGACTGTAGCTGCTCCACCCAGACAGTCCCTCTCACTCTGGGCTCGTGGCTTCTGTGAATCAAGGTGACGTCTCTGTGACTGACTGTCACAAGGCTGTCCTCGGGTGCAGTTCCCAGAATGGACCAGAAACGTTACCACGGTCACAAGGATTGGAAAACTCCACACGTGCACTTGTAAGATTTAGCCTTTACATCACATTTGGGTTCATTGATGGCCGAGCACATGGGGGTGCGGTTTTGCACCGTACGCGCGGGATAATTCGCTGGGACGTTCGAAAGACTAGTTTTCGGGTAAAGCCTGGAGGTAAGTATTGAGTTTGGTTCGTTTTTGTGGTTCTTGTCTCTGTTAAACCGTGGGTCCCCAACCTCTGGTCTGTGGACCGGTGCCGGTCCGTAGGTCATTTGGTATGGGGCCACAGTGGGACACAAAAATGTACTTCAGTTTTACTAATTTACTTCAGTCAAAAAGTATCTAGTCACAACCCTTTAGTTTTTTTTTTAATTCAAAGATTTTCTGTCAATGTTTCAAAACAACAGGTCATTCAGACTCTGATACTGACAGAAGAAAGTCTAAAAGGTGTTTTATTTTGAAATTTTAATGATGGCGTTGTATTAGCGGTCCGCAGTAACAGCTGATACCGAACCTTGGTGCGAAAAAGGTTGGGGATGTTTACTATGTGCAGTAGCTGATGTAGAGACTGGAACAAACTCCATGGATGTCAGATTATCATCAGACTCCTGGTTGTAAATGTCATCACAGACAGACAACAAATCCTAAAAAACAAACGTCAAAAGTACCATCTTTAAAATATTCACTCTAAAAAAAAAAAAAAATTTCATTCAGTTTTATATGTTGCTCTTTCATGTTGACACCATGTAAGAAAGTTGCTGTCTTTTATGATGGACTTACCCCAGTATATGTCAATGTATGGAGTCATGTGGTTATTATTAGCCACTGGTTGCCGTCTGCTGGATTAGGATAATATTCAGGGCGCATTGAGCCAGGCTGTAGCACTTGCTGACTGAATGCCCTGCGGCCAGCGGGGTGCCAATGTAATCCACTGCTTTCAAACACTGCCCTGAAATCACACGGGGCCAATGAGGCAGATTACATTTTTGTGTTGTGTTTGGTGGGGGGGGGGGGGGGGGGGGGGGGGGGTGCTGGCTGTGTGTGTTTCCTAGCTCTAGCTGCATGGCTACTTCTTCATACCATGATGTAGCAGAGAGTGGCAGGGTGTCAGCACACAGAGCGGGGCTTGTCAACTGTGATTGGGTGAATGGCGTGACAGTCGGGGAGTGTAGTCAGCCACGGCTTACTGGAGTTCTGCTACAGGCAGTGGCTGCGTTATCTGTCTAATGGAGCGGAAGGAGACTTGTCAGGACGGTCACATCAGCGTCTCCCAAGTTTTATCTTGACTTTTCACCAGAGCTGCGACTCTACAGGATTCTCAGCGTTGAGAAATAACCGTCCTCGTCACCAGAAGTCCTGCCAACTCGAACGTTTCTTCTACTTTGCGCCTATTTTCCTAATAACAACAGGTCGGTCTGTGAGACCTCACCAGCCGCTGTTGTTTACTAATTCATCATCATGTAACTGGAGGACGATCATTGTGTGCAGAGGGAATAGGAGCAGCAGAGGGTAACTGGAGAAGAGACTTGCCCCTAGGATTTTTTTTTTTTTCCACGCCCTCCTTTGTACTCAAAAGTGAAACGGGTCAAAGGCAACAAAACCTCAGGAAAACTGAGTTAAAACGTCTTCACTCCCAAGTCCAGCAGCTGTTGTTCCTCAGAAAACGTCACGTTTAAATCATTTCTTGTTTGTAGAGTGCAAAGAAAACCTTTTTCTGTTGCTTTTTTGTGTTTGTGAAAAAATGTTGTTTTAGGTGCTGAGATTTCTTGTTTGTAGAGTGCAAAGAAAATCTTTTTTTTTGTTGTTGCTTTTTTGTGTTTGTGAAAACATGTTGTTTTAGGTGCTGAGTTTTTTTTTCATTTACATCTGCGTACGAAGGTCTCTTCTTTGTTTCATGTAGTCATTAAATTATCAACAAATCTGTTTTCGTAGACTAACAAACACAGTTTACCAAGATGCTTTTTTTAAATGTATCAATTTTTATGCGCACCATTTTGTTGTTTGTTTTCTGTGATTGACCAAACAAAGATGCTACATTTTATATTCTATCTAGTTACAATTACTTCTTTCAATTATACAACACTTTATTATCTATTGTTGCAATTTTTCACTTCATGTGCTGCTCAACAGTCCATAGTCAACATCGTTTCATTCTCTCCTCCTCCTCCTCCTCCTCCTCCTCTTCTCTGGAGGAGCTCTAACACTTACTGATCCGACCACAGATCACTGAACTTTTGTCTTCTTTCAAACGCCCTCTGCTGTAGACTGGGCTGCGTTGTTGAACAGAAATTCTATAAAAATCAATATTTATATAACGACCGTGTCCACTGATACCCTTTAAATGCGTTACTATTTACAAGCTAACAGGTCATGCACTTGGCAGAGGTTTCTTTCCTCGACCACGAGGCCGACAGATTTCACCGGAATCTTTTCACATCATCATCATATAGTCTTGTGTTCAAAAACATTGGGGTTTTTTTTGTTGACAAGCAGTACCCTAGTGTGTTGTGATTGTTTTGTTGTTGCTATTTTACGGGAAAATGTCAGATTCATCCATTTCAAAATAGGTTTAGTTTGTTCGTTTTTTCAGTTATTTAAAAATATGTTTAAATGATTTGCAAAATACACAGTTTGTTGTTATGATAAAGTCAGCTAATGTTTCGTATTTGAGCGTAGTTTTTAATACACAAATTTCCATTTTTCAATTTCAGCGTCGCTGTGACCCGTTCTCAGGACGTTCCCGTCTTCGGCCCCCCAATACCCAAGGGCGTGACCTTCCCCAAGTCCACCGTCTTTAGGGATTTCTTGTTGACCAAAATCATCAACGCCGAGAACGCTGCCCACAAGTCCGACAAGTTTGGAGCCATGGCAACGCGCACGCGCCAGGAGTATCTGCGGGATTTGGCAGAGCGTCATGTGACCACCACTCCAATAGAGCCCACTGGGAAGTTCCCATTCATCTCTCTGGCCCACAAGCGACGCGATAAGACTCGTCCGTACAGTGGGGCGGAGCTGCGAAGTCTGGGGGCGGTGACCTGGCAGGTGCACGCGGAAGACCAAGTAGCCTGCATGGAGCGCGAGTGCCTGTTGGCCATCTCCAATGACGATAGCGCGGCGAGAGCGTCACCCTGCGCTCCATCAACAACAACACAGAGGACTTTGGAGAGGTGGTCAAAAGACTGGAGGTCAGTGAGGCTCACACATCACTCTGAACAGCAGCTTTTACATAACCGTGCTGGAGGTCAGTGAGGCTCACACATCACAGAACAGTAGCTTTTACATAACCATTTGTTAATACAGCATTGGTGAGGAATCGAACCTTTAATACCGGGGGTCCTCGACTTACGTCAGACTTCCGTTCCTACGGTGCTACGTAACTTATTTTCACTGCAAGTCAGAACTCACGAGCTACACGAGTACTTATGCTAACACAATGCTAACATCGTTATCTAGCACATAAAAACATCACAAGAGTCTGACGTCTGACTTACGCCTGAAAGCCACAATGGAGGGCAAAAGTTCCCTAAAAAACTTTTGGGAACTTTTGGGAAACATTTTTCCCACTAGTGTGAAATTGTGTATGTACAGTTGTGTTTTGTTAGCAGTTAACGATTCTCATTTTGCAACTCCACAAATATACTTCAATAACATTGTTAAAAAAAACCCACAAATGATGCCTGGTTTGATACAAAAACAACTGATGTGGAAAATATACATTCATATTATGCAGTTATTTACAAACGTAAGACATAAAAAAGGTAGGTTTTCTCCCAGGCTAGGCACAGCTAAGCTAAGCTAAGCTAATCCAGCTACTTTTCTGTCTTCATTTTTGTTTCTAACTGTAGCTCTTGAATATTACCGAAATGTTTTTTTTTTTTATATTTATGGATACTAATAATTTAACAACTAACAATCATATAAGTTGCTATTGTTACAGCAACAGGAGGGCGTTCCCTACTGTTACCACAAAACCACAAAACTGTTTTCTTCACTCATTGTCATTATTAGAAGTCACGCAAAGTATAAAACATTTGGTTTTTATCCTTTATTTTAGGCTTAATAATTATTAGGCTTTTTTTTTTAGGCTTCAGGCAGCGTTGATCAGGCAGTGGTTTTTGGTGAAAGATGAAACGTTTACCCTCTGTTTTGACAAAGAACATTTTTTTATCTGTACGTGCTACAAGTAATGTCTTGCCTACTGTATGTTTAAAAAAAAAGAAAAGAAATAATGATTATTTCTGGTTGTGGCCATGACAGCAGCTCTGTTTTTGTTGGAGGTTTAATTAACCACCTGACAGACAGAGAAAGAACATTTTTAAACTAATGTGTTTCCACTGATTGAAATATGTGCGTCTGTGTCTGTGGCTTCAGCAGCCGCTCATAATAATACACCTCCTCCAGGGAAGGAAAATTTAATTTCTCACCACAAAAATGTGTGGGTATCATTGAATATTTATACTTATATATTTTTTTTATCTGCTTCTCACCTCGGCGCCAACGCCTTGTCCCTCTGTCTCGTTTACAGCTTTTGACCAAAGGCTGTCAGACCACGGAGATGACCCTGCGCCGCAACGCTCTGGGCCAACTGGGTTTTCACGTGAATTTCGAGGGCATCGTTGCAGAAGTGGAGCCCTATGGTTATGCCTGGCAGGCTGGGCTGAGGCAGGGCAGCCGACTGGTGGAGATTTGCAAAGTGTCGGTGGCCTCGCTGTCTCACGAGCAAATGATCGACCTGCTGCGCACCTCTGTGACCGTGAAGGTGGTCATCATTCCTCCGCATGACGACTCCACACCACGCAGGTAGAGGAAACACACAGTCTTGAGATGCAAGAAGGAGACGGCAAATGATTATTTGGTCAATATTGAAATTACGATGATTTAGTAGTAGTAGCTAGTAGTGAATTGAAAATAGATATAAATAAAATATATTACTTAATTAGAAAATATGATATAAAATGCTTTACAAAGTAAAACATTTTTGAAAAAAGAAACCATGTTATTATGACTATATATATATATATATATATATATATATATAT